CACCAGTCACCCCAGCGTGATTCTGCGTTGTCCCAAGGAGAGTAGTAAGATCTTCTTTGTTAATTCTTTTAGTTGACAGACCTTGGGCTACTGAGCGGGATAATATAATATATATATATATATTATTTTGGTTTTTGTTCTTCCCTTCCCCTTTCCCTGTGAAATTATATATATATAAATATTTCAACTGTATATAACTGTAAATATAAGTGTAAATATATTTATATACATTACTTTGTCTCTCTCTCGTTTTCGGTTCTTTCGGTTTTTTTCCCCCTCTTCTCCCTTGGTTTGGGGTGGGGGGGGACTCCTTGTGGTGAGGTTTGGAGACTTGGCAGGGAGCCAGCTCCAAACCATAACAGCCAGCTATAACAGGAATTAACCTGTCAAATGGAGGGATCTGGTCATCCTCCCCTGCAGTGGTTCCATTCCCTCTGTTTCCTAGGAATCTCTCGTCCTGGCATCAGAGGGGGAAAATGACCACTTTCCTGTCCATTTTTTTTCTGATCGCTTTCCCATTTTCCAGAACAAGTTCAACACAGAAAACCCATCTGAATAAACATCATGGCATAGGATGAACTAATACTAATGTTTATTTATTACATTTGTCTCTCTCTTCCCTTTTTGATAGGTCTATAAACCTGATAATCAATACACTCATTAAACAGCTGTGCATCTGACCCAAATACAACATCATGTGAAATATATACGCAATAAAATCTAAATCATCATATAATTCTGAGAGATTATGAAAACCTAGGCTGTAAAAAGATTGCACCCCTCTCCATCTCCCAGAACGATATCCATTAGCCTCTGGGAACATTACCAAGCAAGAGCAGAGTGAAAAGTTGTACAACAGAAAACCAGCACCTTGTTCAATATTTCCAATTAAAATCATTAGTAGAAAATAAAATGTATAACTGTATGTGAATTTACAGACCTGGATATGTTCCTTTATAGAAAATGATCGTTGTAGATTAAAAGATAAATATCTCTCCAGATGCAAAACCAAAAGCATTGTTAGTTTTATTCTCACAAGATCAATACCAATCATGCACTGTAGCCAACCAGGAACAGCAAATAACAATCAGGAGGTGCTAGATTCAATTATGCTTTAGTGACAGGGATGGTTAGTCAATATCTTCCAACAGCATTTTTTTAAAATATCTAATTTTTAGAGAAGCCTATGATAGAAATCCTTTTGTAAGTCAAGACTTTAAGCAGATATAAAAAGAGAGCACAGGCCTAGTTACCCTTCAAAGGATATTTTTGCTCGGGTTTAGCTAAGCACCAGGAGAGAACATCTGTGTCTAAGCTATCATCATTGACCTCTACTTACATTTGCTGACACGAAAAATTTCTCCCAAACTAGGAATATCCCAAAACTCTCCAGGGCAGGCACATTTCTGCAGAAATAACACAGGCCACTGTGGGGAAACCATATCCTCAAACAGGCAGCCCAGAGCCTGTCACGGTCTGGTTTGTTGGGCAATGGGCAGAGTTCTGTTGCCCTGCCTGCAGACACATCTGCTGGCACTTGCTGCAGAGCCCCTGTGGATCGTCTCAAGCCTCCAAGCCATGGCATTTCTCATGTGGTGTTAGAGGTCTGCATTAAAAATTTCCTATGAGCACAGCATGCAATGGCCCTTGCACACCAACACCCACATCTGCCATTCCTTGGCGGGAGTCTCCCTGAAGTTGCCAAGCAGGCCTTTGCTGCTGGTCTTTGCTCTGCTCGCCAGAACCTCGTTGTGCTGAACTTGCTGAGAAACTCCTCTGTGCACTCTGATTCCTGTGCCAATTCAGGTTGCTTCCACAAAATCTGGCTGCTGCCTCTGTGCAGGAGGAAGCAAGCATGGCAGGAGGGCTACAAGCTGTTGCAGTACCAGACTCCTCAATACTGAGCATTTTTGCACACTTGGGAAAACAAAAAGAAAGGACATTGAGGAGGTAGTGGAAAGCTGTGAATTTTGTTGTTACTGTTCCCACACCAAATTTCTACAAATTTATATGCACACACTGAGCATAGATAAGACAAGGTCTGGCCCCAGGTCACATACAAATAAAGATGGAACAGGTGAGACTAATGTCAAGAGAGTGGCAGAGCTCAAGGCATCAGGATCCCTAAGTTCATACATCCACATACTCACATTTCTGAATGTCTTTCACTTGTTAACCTCCCTATGTATCTCTGGATTTCAATGTTCAGAAATTCTCAAAGGTAAGACAACAAAAGTATTTGAAGGCCCTTTTTTTTTAAAGGCCAACGCAACTAAAAACTATTCCAGTTCTTGACTGCACACAACTGTAGGCAATACTCACCGACCATTGCTGTTACTCAAAATTTTCCCACTGTATGATGATGTCCTGGTTTGGCTCTTTGCCCTGTTAGACTAGCCCCATTCAAACTGAAGTCTTCCATGAGAGGTATTGTACAAGGCAGCCTTTTTGTCTGGAGGAAGAAAGTGGATTTCAGTATGGATGGTTTAACTATTTTCAAAATTAAGTGGGGTAGGGTTATGAGTGAAACTGTTTAAAGGATTAAAAAACAGTAGCAATTATTTGGGAGACAGTTCTCTTCCCTGCAGAAAATTCTGTCATCACCATACCGATGATTCAATATCCTGCAAACAGCCACTGTGGCAGGGACACACAGCTTACTGCCCACCTCAATTTGGCACAGATATATGAAGTCTTTGAAATAAAGCACAGTTATTTAAGAGCAACCTAACTTCTAATTCCCAACCTAGTAATAAACCCCAACTGGCTACATAAGAGACCCAAGTCCAACCCAAATTTTTAAAATAATTTGATTTTGCCGATACTGTAACACGAATGATGGTTTTGCTAATTCATCTCATCATGAAGATTTGACGTACAGCTTAATTTGCTAAAACCCATGTGGTCTGTGGCACCAAAGCCAGGAGCCCAAACGGCCTGTGTTCCCTCAACCAGTCCTCACAGTGTTGCAATACAGAGTCACAAGCACGTGAAACCTGTTTTTCTATACAATCATGAGAACTGCATTCAGACCAAAATGTTTCTGAGTTTACACCTGGCTGCCCTCCGGATTCTGAACTGTTCATTGGCTCTGAGGTTTTTCTTCACAGCCCAGAGATTTAGTTTCCTTTTTTTCCCAACCTGAGATTTGAAAACTGATCACTTGTCTTTGGGAGCTGGGACACACAAAGAAGTCTGTAAACCAACTTTGCATGTATGAACACACAGAACCACGCTAAAATTTATTTAGAAATCAAGAAAACCGTCAAAGCAACCAACCCATAAATTTTGCCATACATGCTGCAGATTAAACTTCTCAAAGACAGTTCAGTTAAGTTTTTTGGCAGTGAAGACACTTCCTTTTCAAATCCTCCAAGTAGAGAATGCTAGCAGAGCCCAAGGACATGATGCATTCCAAACATCCATTCCACACCGGGCAGCTGGACACAAAAAACAGCAGCCTATGCTGACTCTCCACCTGCAATCACGAAATGGAGCTCTTTAAAACGGCTGTCATCCTGTGGGCAGCTTGTCCAGGACTGCTGGTGTGCATACAGGATTAGTCATATGGGTGATGAAGCACAGTATAACTCAAGTGTTTCCATACAGATGAGATATATGCAGTGAAATCAGATATTTGCTATGACTGGGCAGCATCACCTCCCAGTCGCTTGACTGCGCAAACCACTTTTGAGTCATGAAATACCCGACTGACCTTGAAGGGAGGTAGCTAAGGATTTATGCACACGGAGCAACCCAGAACACCTCGGCATGGCGGAATTTTATTTTGACTCTTTGGAAATATGGCAGATCCCTCACATATGATAGCTGCTGCCTCCATTAAACACTGCAACAGCAAACAAATCGTTTGGCCTGCCATGAGAACCCAGAGACAGCAATCATAAAAAATAGACCTCCATTTACTTGTCAGCAATTTGCAATGTCATCACGTTTTGAACAAGTCAGATCTCTCTATGTTGCAGCTGGTACAGGACAGAAGACGATGTAAAAGTGAGCTGGAAGACACAGGATAAGAGTCCCAGAGGGTGTGTGATCACCTCTGGAGAACCAGGCACTGCTGGTTGCAGGCAGCAGGTTCCCAAAGGCTGTGCAGGCACCTCAGGAAACAAACATCTCCCATCAGTCCCCATGCAGACTGGGGAGCTGCAAGCACAAAGCCAGCAGTGCTCCATCTTTGCATATAGGGGAGGTATGTCCCCAGCACCGTGCAAACCTTAAGGAAAAGTACATGCAAACAAAGCAGCTGCAGCAGTAGGAAAGAGGCAACAACATGAGATGCATCTCTACCACTGTGTCCTTGATGCTGCCATTTCTTTACAAGGGGGGCATTTCCTCCCCAGGAGGGAATCTCCCAGGAAACACTGATGACAAGAAAGCTCCCTCCCCTGGTTCCCACTAGGAGGGTCCTCCTAGAAAGAGGTAATTAACTCTGCAGCCAATTCAGTACTTAATTCGCACAGGGAAATGTCAGGTGGAGAGAAAATGGCTGTGCAGAGAAGTTATAAAAAAGTTGTAAAAATGTTGAAAATCCTTCAAAGACAAACCTCAAATAGAACCTAAGTCCAGAAAACAAAGCCACCTGAAGAAGAGTAAGGGGAAACGTTCCTAGTAATTTCCATAATTTTTTTCATTACTAACTAAAAACATCCCAAAGCCAGAAATTTTGAACTATTTATCCAGCTGCAAGAAGAGTTGTTCTGACTGAAGATTACACCACAGGAGCCCGCCACAGGGACATACATCTGGCACTCTGATAGCCCAGGAAGGCAGTGCCATCTGCAGGGCACGGAAAGTGCTCGAGACTTATTTTTTTGAAAACCAGTAAAACTGGTTGCTGCGGTAGGGGAGCGGTGGAGGAACACTTTCCCCCTGCAGAATGAGGGCTGCCCAACAAACAAACAAGGTCACAGTTTTGGAAGGAAATAAGTAGAAAAAATAAAAGATCTTTCAGCAACGAAAACAACATGAGAGAGATGTCACTACACAAGGAGCAAGGGACCCTTCAAAGCACTGAAGTGAGGAGAAGAAGTTAATTTTGATCTCAGATAATCTCATAAGTCACATCATCACCACTTAGGGAACAGAGGACATGGCACCTGCATAGGAAAAACAGGGAAACCATCTCTTGACAGTTGCAGCAGCAAGGATCTCGAGCAGCCTTCCAGGGAGGGTCAGAAATCAACTCCAGAAAGAGGGACTGCAAAACACAGAGTTTTACGTGTTTACCCACAAAATCTACCAAGTTCTCTATTTGTATACATGCAATGTTTGCATTGCAGAACAGATTTGGGAGGAGAAGGCATTTCCTGGAAAGGGGAGACTCACCATACAGTGTTAGTATGGGAAAATGACTGGCTGTAGGACTCCTACACCACCAGGATGAGTGTAACGGTGCATGGCGAAGGAAACATTTATGGATACTTTTCTTTTTCTGCACTAGTATACAGCTTTAAACTCTTTGTCTTCCACCAGGCTTTTGTTCCAACTTAATCACCAAACAGTTGTTCAGCCTCCAGTGTATTTAGTGCCGAACACTAAAAGAACAGATCTTTTGTTTCTTTCACAACTTAATAGAAAAACAGAAATAGAGAAAAATATATCTGCTGCCATGTTGCTATCAGGAAAAAATATATCTACTCATTCTGTATTCTCTAAGTCTACTGTCCTGTTCAATTTTGCATTTCAGCTTTCCGTTGTTCTTTAGGGAATGTCTCAGATTCAGAGATCTTGGAATAGTGAATCAGGGTAGGGAACAATTTCTGTACACAAATTCACCCAGCTGAGAGCGGTGCCAAGATTGCAGACTGAGCCAGAGGGCTGCAACAATCAGCATTCTCCAACTGCAAGGACTTGAAAAAGACCTCTAGTAATTGCAGACTAGTACACTGTGTTCACTACCACATTGGGCTGTCCACCAGCCAGGTTACTGTATAACTGATAAGATAATGCACCTCAAACCTCTTGTCATTTGCAGTTTTGCCCATTTATAAAAGCCAGTCCAACATTTTTGAAAATACTTATGTGCAAAAGCAGTTTACTGTTAGCTGAAGAACAGAGGTTAAGCTGAAAACCAGCAACGAAAGAGTTCTGTTGCTGTGCTGTGCAGCAGCAACCCACAGTAACACCAGTTTATTAATTCTGGCCTACAGAGCTCTTTGAAGTTGCAGAAAACCATTGCCTGAAAATGCTATTATTTTATTGAAATCAACATCTGTTGTTTTCAGTGTAAGCTATTCACTGTCACAAAACAGCACCCGAGCATCCCTGCTGTCTGTTTATGAGAGAATCACCGCCTCTACATTAACATTTGTTTACTCCCAATGCCAGAGTAACTGTGGCACCAAGAGGTCAATACCCTGCCATAACATCTCATCCCATTACCAATGAATCATGCTACAAGGTGCAAATTACCACTGGCCCCACACATGAGCTTGACTAAACACAGCCTCCTGGAAGCAAATGTTGGTGGGCTGGGAGCGGCAGGCTCGACACGCCTTGCATATGCTTCCTGCTTATCTCCACAGGCAATTAATAGGATCTCTCTTGAGTGATGGGTTTTTGATGGGCTGGGAGGATGGGCTCTTGAACACTGCACAGTGGCTGAGATTTAATTACAGGGCCAGACTGCCACTTTGTCAGCAGGTGGAGGACGGGAGGCAGAGGAAAGTGGGTGCCAGACAGCTGCCCAGGCTCCTGCTACCTGTTCCCTCCACCCCACTGAAACACTGACTCCCCCTCCCATGCCACAGTCCCTCTCACCTCCACAACAGGAAAAAAACCCCAAACTATGTTGACTTTTTCAAAAAGGCTGCTAAGCCACAACAGTGCCCATGGAGGCTGTTGGGAACTTTTACATCACAATCTTTGGGAATCAGACCCAGGCAGACACAGGTACGCAGGTACTCCTGCTGTTTCCATGGAATCTGAGAGGGAGCTGCAGTATTTTGAGGCAGGAACAGTCTCTGTCGTGCCTCTCTCCAAGCAGAGGCCCATGACTCCTGCATCATCCCACCTCTTCCTCTGCCTCAGCAGAGAGCAGTTTGCTGACAATCTCTGGGGATTCAGCAATACGTGCTGAGGTAAAGTTTAAGCTTGGGCACATTCTCCCTATCCAGGAAGAAATCTAACATGGAACTGGGGATTGTTTTTCTCTATGACTGAGAACCAGCCATAGCCTTGTTTACCAGTCCTCATTTTTTATTACCTGTCCAGCAGCAAACAGTACATGCTGCCTGCCCATTGTGCCCCAAGAAACACATGAAACATGAATGACTTAACCCTTCTGGTGAAACAAAAACATCCAGGCCAGCCATAAGAAAAGGCTGTTCATTACGAATTTTCATCTTCACAATCCAAGGCTTGAGGTTTTTTAAAAATATATTACAGAGGTTGAAATGTCTGGCATACCAAATGAAAATAAAAGTGAAAAAA